ATAACTCAGGGGAAAATGCATTACGCATCCCCCGGAGACCTGGGGAGGGCACCGGGGGTATGTGGGACTCCCCTCCCCCTCTCTAAAGGAGAGGAGGAGGTATACCCACTAAAAACCCCTGAGTGTGTCCTTCACCGCGCAAGTAGGGAGACCCCCTGGCATCACCTTTCGGCATTCTCCGGGGGGCCGCTCTGCGCCAGCGCTATAGCGCTTCTTACCCTGGGGGGGAAAAGCGGCGGGGACAAAGCCCCTCCCCGGTCGCTCCCCCCCTGCCGTAAGGCCTCACTTGCCTCATTGCGCGGCGAGAGGCGGACACACCTCTCGCCGCGCTCCTCCCGATGGTAGTGGGAGGTGGGTCTCCCAAACCAACGTGACCGGGGGTGAGTAAGATCACCCCCGGTCGTGGTGCCTACTGGCAGCGGCGCGGTGCGACCCTACACCGCGCCGCCTCCCTCCCGAGCCGCAATGGAGGAGGGTGCGCCCCCGCGCACCCCCGCCGCGGTCGGTAAGGGAGAGGGGAGACCGGTACCAGGCAAAGCCCAATACCGGCCCCCCGGCGCCGGCCTGGTGTTCGGCCAGCGCCGTGGCCCCGGTCTTGGTGGTCAGACCGGGGCCATTTCCATCTCTCGCGGACCCTCCGGGGGGTGAGGTTCCCCCGCAGACCCCGCAGTTGGTGGTGGTGGGGGAGGACCGGCCCCTCCCGCGGGCAGCGGGCCTCCCTGGCCCGGAGCCACGTTCGGAGGCCGGCCTCTGCGGTGGCCCGGCGGCCAATCGCCGCGCGAGCCAGTCCCCACCATCGGGCACCCGGGTCCACCCATTCGATGGCCCGAGTCCCGGCCCTCCTCGCGACACACCGCGCAGGCTGCCTCATTGTTGCAGACCCGCGCAGTGTGCCCAACCAGGCCACACCGGTAGCAGTTCCCACTCCGGTCCGTAGACGCGGAGCAGGCGGCCCGGATGTGGCCCCACCTCCAACACCGGTGACACTGGAGCGGGCGACTCGGGAGCAACTCGACTCTTGCCCCCGCCCACCCCAGCGCCACCCTACCTCCCGAATCCACCTTATGGGCAGCCACAAGGGGGAGCCGGGCCCAAACCGCCCCCTCCCCCCTCCAGTTCCAGCGTATGTGGCCGAGGCGAACGTCGCCCGGTCCACACCCGCCCTTATCCGCGAGGACCCCCACAATCTCCTCTGGGAGGACCGACTCGTCGAAACCCACGAGCCGGACCTCCCCCATCCTGAGGGTCGCGTAATTGCAGCCCCCGGGAGCGCCGCCCTGAGCTTATCCGCCAGGGCGTCCGCCTCCCTCTCCTTGCATGGTCCGGCCATCCCGAAGAGGAGGCCGCCTCCAGCGGTCCTCCTCACGAAGGCGGGCCGGACCCCACCCATCCCCGGAAAAATGTCGCCCCGAGCCTTACGGAGGGCCTCCGCGAACGAAGGGCCCCCCGGCTCGAGGCGAACCGCCACCGCCACCGTGGCCGGCGGAACCGGCAATGCGCGAGGCGCTACCAGCAACGCACCGGTCCTCTCCCCCCTGTCTCTCCTGATATCCTTCTTCCTCCTTCGGCCCACCACGGTTCAACTCCGAGAATTCGAAGGGACCGCAGCGGGCGCGGCGGACGCAACCGGCCTCCGTCCAGCCGGCGGCACCCCGGCAACAACCTCCCGTAACGGGGACGTCGCCCTGTCCCTCGCCTCGGGTCGTACCTCCGGGAAGGGGGATACGGCCCGGTCTTCCGTCTTCGCGGCGCGAACAGGGCGGTTCTCACCGCACATCTTCACCACCTCCGCCATACATTTTCCTAAATCCTCTTTTTTTAGCATCCAGCCTCTCCTTTCCTTGTTCCATGCCTCCCTATCCCTATTCCACTTAAGCTCCTTCTCTTTCCATTTCTTCCGCTCCAACTCCCACTTTTCACCCCTCTCCTGCCACTCTACTATCTCCTTGTTGTTCCTCCTTTCCAACTCCACACCTTCATCCACCCACTTCTCCAGCGTCATAACATATTTTTCCAAATATACCGTCCTAGTCCCAAAGGTTTTAGCCATGTCCTCGCCATATCTTTGCAACTCTTCCTTCCTCTTCCCTATTTCTTCCTTCTCGGTCCTACTCATCCTCTTGCTTCTGGATGTAACACTCTCGATCGCTCGAGCGCTTTCCTTCAGGTAACTCAAGCGCTCGAGGATGAAGTCCCTATTCCAGCCTTCATCCTCCGGATCCGGCCATTTCCCTTTCCTTTCCATTTCCTTTTTCCATAGCTCCTCCTCTCCAGACTCCTCCTCCGTCTCCGTCCCAGAGGCCTCAACGTCAATCTCCCTTTCTCTTTCCACTTTCCTTTTCACGATCCTTTTCCTCCTCTTCACTCCACCTCCTAAATTCTCTACCTCCACGGTAGCTGCTTCGGCGTGCGGGCCCGTAAGCAACCCGCACGCCAGCCCGTCGCCGGATGACGACGACACAGGGAGCCGGGAGGCTACCCCCCGTGCCGCCGGACCCTGGGGCTCCGAAACCCCTGGACCGGTAAGGTTGCCTTCTGTCGTCGTCATTTAGATCCATCCTTGAGTGAGAACTTTACAACCCCTCACTCACGGGCGGGTTTTTTTATCGAGGTTATCCTTCCCCTAGGTCGGCTGCTAAAAAGCTAACGAGCCCGACTTACCCGTGAACCGACTGTCAGGCCCTGCCCTGGAATAAGTCCGGACGGCCCTGACAGCCGCGTCCCCCCCCAAATCCCCCTCCCCGTCGGCCCGTCCGGCATGGGTGACCCTACCGGCGTGGCCCGACGGATCCCTGGGGGCCGACTTCCGGGCAACTCCCCGGAAATCACCCATTTCCCCTCCCCGGCGCGTACCACGGAAGGATTTCCGAGGCCGTTTGCCGGGAAGGAGAAACCCCTATTATGGGACCCGAGACCCCCCCATGCCAGGAGGCACGCCCCGAAGGACGTCCTCCCCAGACACAGGGCGAACCCGAGCCCCAT